AATATAGTGAACACTATTATACTCTGGGAATCCAAACTTTATACACTCTAAAGATATCAAGAAATGTCAAGAAAAATAACAAGAACTCAAGAAAAATGCTAATTTCCATGAAGACAATAATATTTTATTATTAGCAATCAAAAGTGAGAACTTATACAAAGTTATTTTGAGAAAGGGAGAAAAGGGGCTATTTATAATGTTTTGGGACTATGTAGATATTAATTTAACATCTATCTATTATGTGACGCATATAGGGTTACATGATACATCACATGTTACATTTAATTTAAATTTCGTTATACTAATTAGTAAGTTCTAGAATGTTTATCAAAAATCACTAATTACAAAAGATTTTACTATAACAATCGATATAGATTATTAAGACAAAAATGTTCTATGACCCATAATAGGGGGTTTGCTAATGCGCAGTAATGGGTTTTTGCATTAGTTTTTGAGATATTAGCTTTCGAATATGAACGTTTCCTATACTTACTTATTAATTACTAATATAAATGATATAAATGATAAAAATAAAAATACTAATGATAATAACATATAATGATAATATGATAAAATATTGATATAAATATAATAAGAATATAATAAAATATAAGAAAAAGAAAAGAAAATAGAAAATATTAAAATCTGATGAAATTTTGGGGTACTACATCACTCCCCTCTTTAGATTTGACCTCCTGGTCGAAGTCATCAAACTCATTGATATTTAAAAATTGTATCCATGTTTGGTCCTTTAATCATTTAGCTTCAGATACTAGAGTATCATAAAAGTTGGTATGATACATTTCATTTAAGATATAGGAGGTAATTTGTTGGACAGCATAGAGATATAAATGACCACGAATATTAAAAAGTTGATGAGTTCGTTAGGCTATTTTCAATACATTTCTGGCTTTTCTGGGTGAAAAATATAAATATAATTCTCATCAAGCAGAGGGTTGCCAATTTTGAGTTTCTAAGAGTTGTCAAAGTTTAAAGAAAAGTTCAAGTATGGTTCTATTTGAGTGTGTTCGTTTTTGTATTTGAGTGATAGCACCACAGATATGAGCTAGTTTTTGTTTAAAATCGTCACCAGGGATATAAAGATTTAAAGTAATATTTTTAGATTATTCTTTGTCAAGGTCTAATAAATAAATATATAGATTATTGTGAATTCGTTGAGCTTCATTTTCACTTTGGCTTGGGTTTGGAAATGTTGAACCGAAGTAGAGTTTTGTATTTGAATAGTTGTAGAAGAAATAGTAATAGTTTAATCAGGTTGACGATGTTGTAATAAAGATAAAATATAGGGTTTGAGAGTATTAAATCGTTGAGTAAGATCCATTTTAGTTGTTTTTGTTTGTTTTTTTTTTTTTTAATAGTGGAGATAAAAAAATGTAGATGTTGAATGAATTTCTGCAGTTTTTTATAATAAATTTTGTGGTTCCCAGTTTGGTAATTCTTTGTATAGCTTTAATAAATCCTCATTTACTATTTTTGCAAGCATTTTACTATTTATAGTTCATAACTGGTATGTCCCATTATTAAATTTATTGTGTATATAAAATGGTCCTGTGAATCGTTCCTCTAATTTCTTCCGTGGAATTCCTTTGGTGTACAATCTTGCATTGAATAATAAAACTTTATCACCGATTTGATAATCATGAGGTTTGATATGTTGATCGTGATACTTCTTTTGTTTATCTTGTGCTTTAATTATATTAGTTTGTGCTTCAATTCTTTTTGAGGTAGACATTCAATCAACTTGTATATGTGATGTAATAATTTTTCATGAGGTGTTATTCCATGAACGTTGCCTATATCAGTTATAAATTGAAATTCTACAGGTAGTACTGCATCTCGGCCATACAGTAAATTAAATGGTTCAAATTTGGTAGTTGTTTGTTGATGTGTACGATATGCAAATAGGACGGAAGGTATATGAACATCCCAATCTGTAGAAAATGTGGCAACATATTTTGCTAAAGTTTCACATAGAGTTCTGTTAAATCGTTCAACAAGTCCATTTGTTTTAGAGTAATAACTAGAGGATAGTTTGTGTTTAGTTCCTAAATATTCACAGAAGAATCTATTATTTCATTTGCAAAGTGTGTTCCTTGATCTGTTAATAGTGTTTTTGGGCAGCCATGTATACAAATTATATCTTCATAGAAAAATTTTGCTACAGTGAGGGCTAGAGTATCTGGTATAGGTTTTGCTTCTGGCCATTTTGTCAGGTATTCTGTTGCAACGATGATATATTTATTTCCTTGTTTGGTTTCTGGTAAGGGTCCTACAATGTCTATTCCAATCATATCAAAGGGATGATGTACTGCTATTGGGTGTAAAGGGTTGGTTTTTGGAGGTTTTCCTCTTTTTTGACAGACATCACATGCTTGTATGTATTCTCTAATATGTTTTTGCATTCCTGGCCAAAAGTATTTTTTTGCGATTGCTATATATGTTTTGTCAAAAGAAAAATGTTCTGCACTAGGATCATATTGCATTTGATAAAGAACTGCTTCTATTTCATTGATTTTTAATACATGAAGGGGTATAGAATTATTAAAAGAAGGCTTTTTAAATAATAAATTGTTTTGAATAAAATAAGAAATAGCTTTTCGTTTAATACTAGCTTTTTGTGGAAAAGGTAAATTGAGTAGAAAATTAAGAGTTTGAAGATAATTATAAATAAGATTATAGGTAGAGATATCTATAATGAAATATAAATATAATAAATAGTAATATATAATAATAATATAAAGAAATAAAAATATTGTTTTGATTTGAAGTTTAGATTTGTTGGGGGAGTCTGGATAGACCATCAGCGTTTTTATGTATTTTTCCTGCTCTATGTTGTACAGAAAAATTGTAACCTTGAAGTTTCATAATCCAACATGCAAGTCTTCCTGTTAGATTAGCAATTTTGAACAGAGAGCACAATGTAGAATGATCAGTAATAATTGTAAATTGTTGTCCATGTATATAAGGGTGAAAGTGTTTAATTGACTATACAACAGCTAGACATTCTAGTTCTGTTGCAGAATAATTTTGTTCAGGTTTGTTTAGAGTTCTGGAGGCATATGCTATAGCATGTTCTTTATTATCGTCTCCTATTTGTGATAATACTGCACCAAGAGCTATAGTCGATGCATCTGTATAGAGTAAAAATTCTTTGTCAAAATTTAGAAATATGAGAATAGGAGCTGAGATAAGTTTTTCTTTTAAAGTTTCAAATGCTTTTTGTTGTTCTTCTTTCCATTCCAGTTTAATATTTTTCTTAAGTAGTTGGTTCATTGGGGCTGCTATTTTTGAAAAATTGGCTATGAATCTTCTATAATAGAAAGCAAGTCCAAGAAAAGCTCATATTTGGGTAATAGTTTTAGGGACAGAATAATTTTTGCCCTTTTCTATTTTTGCTGGATCAGGTGAGACTCCATTTTTACTAATTATATGTCCTAAAAATGCTAATTCTTGTTTGATAAAAAAGCATTTTTCAGGTTGAAGTTTAAGGTTTGCTTTTCTAATATATTCGAATACAAGACGAAGATGTTGGATATGTTCATCAAAAGTTTTTGAAAAGATATTGATGTCATCAAGATATACTACAATGAACTTCCATAGATATTCTTGTAGTATATTGTTCATTAAATGTTGAAATGTGGCTGGGGCATTGGTAATCCGAAAGGCACTACTTTGAATTCATATAGTCCATGTCAAGTAGTAAATGCAGTTTTGGATACATCTTGGGGAGCTATGGCTACTTGCCAGTAACCACTTGCTAGATCTAGAGAAGTGAACCATCCAGATCCTTGTAATATGTCTAAAAGTTCATCAATTCTTGGTAAAGGATAACTATCCTTTTTAGTTATTGCATTTAATTTTCTATAATCTACGCAAAAACATAGTTTTCCATTTTTCTTTTTAACAATAACAACTGGAGAGGTCCAAGGACTGTTGGAAGGCTGAACAAGATCTAGTTTTAACATTCTTTAAATTTCTTCTTTAATAAAATCTGATTCTTTAGGTGAGGTTCGATAAAATTGTTGTTTTATAGGTTTGTCATTTTCAACTTCAATTTCATATTGGATTTCGTTAGTTCTTCCTAGATCAAAATCATTTTGAGCGAAGATATCAATATATTCATTAACAAGATCATAAAATTCTTCTTGTTGTTTTTCATCCAATTCTCCAACATTAAGTTTAGGAGAAGGGTCAAAAGAATCTTCTATTTTATCTTCATGGAATGTTGATAAGATTTCTTGGATTTCATTCTATTCTTCATTAGTTTTTGTATGACAGTATGGGCACATTTGCTTTAAGTTTTCTTTTTCTATTTCTTGCCAAAGATTAAGAGTATAGATTCTTTCTTCAAGTTGTTCACTTTCATATTCAGTGGATTTATCAGATTCACTTGAGGATTCATATTCACTTTCACTTTCATCAGAGCTTTCTTCTTTTGTTTTTCCTTTAGATATAGCTTCAACTCTTGGAATTCCAGTAACATGTCTAAATTCAATAGGAACTTGAATTTTTACATTTTTATTTTTAATTTTCATTACTGATTTTTCCCAATTAATTTTTGCTTTGGCTTTAGATAGCCAATCATTACCAACAATTACAGAATATATATCAGTATCTGCAACTACTACATCAATTGATAAGAAGTATTCGCCAATTTTAATAGGTAAGTTTTCTACTTCTCCAAGAGGTCTTCTCTTTTTACTATTTACATTCAACATTAAAGTTGTTGATGGTTTTGTAATTTTTAAGCCAATACATTTAAGAAAATGATTAGAGATAATACTTCCAGCAGAACCACTATCAAAGATAATATTGGTAGTGAATCCATTAACATTGGCTTGACAATATAATGCTGTAGTTCTAAATTTTCCATCAACTGCATATTGGGCAGTAACCATAGGTTCAGAAGCAGATTTAATCTTTTTCTTTTGAAGACTTCTACTTAATTCTCTTAAGTATTTGGGATTTTTAGCAGCAAGTTATGCAATAGAAATATTTGCCTTGATTTGTTGCAAGTCTTTAACAATTGAATATTTTGATACATCTTTATCAATTGTTGGTTTATGAAATCTTGGACCTTGTAAAGGATTTCTTTTCTTTTTAGTTTTAGGAGTTTTAGAATTTTCTGCTTGAGGATCATTTACTACAATATTTTGAACTTCTGGAGTTTCATTTTCTTCTACCACTTTTCTTCTTTTTCCTACATAGGCTTCATTAATATTATTTTTATCTTCTTCTTTTAAATACATCATAGAAGGGTTTGTATTATCTTGGAAAGCATCAGGACCTTCTGTATTCACTGATGTTAATTTAAGTTTAAATGTTGTAAAAGAGTAGCTAATTGTTGTGTGAGTTGATTATTATTATTATTATTATTATTATTATTATTTTGTGGTTGATTGCTATTATTTTAAACAGGGTTTGGGCGATTGTTGTTTCTGGGTTGATTATTTCTAGGTTGATTATTATTATTTGTTGGAGGATTATTTTGTTGATTGTTATTATTTCTTGGGTTAGGACAATCCCAGGCAATATGTCCAGGTTGGAAACAATTAAAGCAAACAGGTCCTCTTTGATTGTTATTGTTGTTGTTATTGTTATTATTATTGTTTTGGTTGTTTCTTCTAGGACAGTTGTTGTTTTCTAATTTCTTTTCAATTTTCTTTTCAAGGTTTTCCATACATTTATTGAGAGCTTCCATTATAATTTCAACAGAATTAGTAGATGTAAGAGTTGGAGTAACAATATTGTTGTTAAGATTAGGAGTAATATACATTGCAGCACCATAACGAGTAAGTTCACAAGTTTTTGCTCTGTTAACTACTCCATCCCAAGTATTTTCACCAAATGGACGTACTGCCATTTGTAATTCTGTTCTTAAACCAGTAGTAAATTTACGGACTTTTTCTATTTCTGGATAAACATTGGCATTCGTTTCTAATTGATGATATAATTCATGTAGATGCATAGCATATTGGTCTACAGTTTCAGTTGGTCCTTGTATACAGTGAGTTAGTTTGATAGCCCAGATATCAATAAGGACAGGAGTTCAAAATCAGGTAAGGAAGCGAGGTTTAAAACTATCATTTTGATTTTGTGTATCCCAGTGTCCAAAAGCTTGTTGTTGATGAGCGTTAGTATACCAAATTGCTGCTTCATTTTTAAGATAGACAGGGATAATTTGTAGTCTTCTTGCATCAGTAAAGTTGTTAGCTACAGCCATACATTCAAATTTCTCAATCCAAGTAACTAGATCTTGATTACCACCAGCAAAAGGTATAATTTCGATAAGTTTAGTTTCTTTTTGTCCAAGACAATTAGTATTATTAGCAACAGCATTTGTTTAATTTTGAATACGATTATCTAGTGCTTGGATAGCATTAATTAAATAATTAATATCTTGTGCTTGTAATGCCATATTATTATTATTTGGAGATAATAAAGGTGGAGTAATAGGAGGAGAAAGTACAGGAGTTTGATATAATTGTTCTAAATCAAATTCAGATAAATCAGAAGTTTCAGAAATTTCAGATTCTACTTTACTATAATTATAAAGAATTAAAAAGGGATCTAAAGTAAATCAATTTGTTCAAAGATAAGCAGTATAAATTTGAATAAGTAAAGAATCAAATACTAAAGGAGTTAAACTTTGTTGATATCAAATAGTAAAAGTGAGGTTTTCAAAACATTTTAAAGGTAAATTATCAATATTATATGTGATAATATCTTGAAAACTAAGATAGTGTAATCAGAATATTGAACAACAGGAAATTCTGCAAAAAACCAAGACCAAAAATTGATAAAAGAATAATCTCTTTCTGTGTTTACAGGATGACAAATAGTACAAGAAAAGTCAGGAAAGTGTTGATTTAAATATTCAAAAGTGTCAGGATTTAATATATATTCGTTGTGAAAGCTATCATGTAAATTGTTTCTTTGTCGAAATAAATCAAAGTTATCAGTCATTCAATACTTTAATCTAAATAAACATTAAAACCTTTTTGTTGTCGAAATTTTACTAATTCTTTTATTACGTCAGAAAAGATAATATTGTTATTAAATTCTTGTTCGTAGAGGTTTAAATTATTTTGTTGATAATTTGTATAGACAATATTAACAACTTGTAATTCAGTAGGATGAGGGAGATTATAACGGATTCCAGTAGGATTGTTTGGATTTGGAAATTCAAGATAATAGGTTTGTTGATGAGTATTTTCTTCAGGGAACCTTGTTTAATTATACCTTGATCTCAAAGTTGAGGTGGATTGTATTTAGATTTGCCGTTGGCCCAAGAGAAACCACAATGTTGAGTATATAGACAAAGAAGTTTAGTTTCCTCAGAAGTAAGAATAGATCCTTGTTGGAAGAGAGTAATAATTTGTTTTATTTGGTCAATTAGAGTTTGATGTTGTTTGTC